TACACATCCTGGACAGGGAGGAACGCTGGTATGAGCGCGGAGTCAATGAGGCCATTTACTTGAAAAGGGAAAGACCATGTCTGAATCGAGGAGGGGGCCTAAGGGTACATCTTTCACCATCTTACAATGCTGTGATTGCAGCCATTCCCCAACTCTCTGTGAATGGTACTCATCGCAATTCATCAGTGATCTTTGATCAATGAGCCTTGATCAGTGGTGGTTGATCAATGCTCAAGAGAATTTGCATATTAATGATCAAGGAACTGACCTCCCAGCCCATTGTTCCTTCAGTGGGCTGGTTTCAGTCATTATGCAAATGTACTGTTTATAAGATTGGGGAAACCTGCAGTCAGCTGAGACTGAAGAAGTCACTTGGATGAGTGACGAAACGTTTCTCCCACTGAAAATGCTACGTCCAGATGAACAGAATCAATCTTTTGGGACTGCACAGAAATGGTTCAGGAATGGTTTGAGGACCACAACAATGAGTCTGAGGTGTTGACTTGGCCTTGAAGTTGCCCATATCTTAAGCAAGCATCTGTGGGATGTGCTAGACAAACAAGTCCGTTCCATGGAGGCCCCACCTCACAGCTTACAGGACTTAAAGGATCTGTTGCTAACATCTTGATGCCAGATAGCACAGCATGTCTTCAAGGGTCTAGTGAAGTCCATGCCTCAGTGAGTCAGGGATGTTTTGGCAGCAAAATTAAGCTAAATTAAATTTTATTCATAGCACACTAATTCCCAACTACAGTCACCACTAGGTTCTTTATATCATAAGGTAAAGACCCCACAGCAGTACAGAGGGGGACCGACACAATATTAGGCAGGTGGTTGTAATGTTATGCCTGATCAGGGTGTTTACTAAATTTATCACATTTTACTTTTTCCCTATTCTGTCCATCCATGCCTTTTCCTTCAGCTCTCTTTCCTCTTGTACAGACTCTGCTAATGTCCCGGAGGCCGCTGGGAAACTGACAGGGAAGAAAGCATGGGCATGGAAAAATGGAGCTCCTTTGCTAGCACAATACTGCAAGCCATGCACACACACTCACACACACTCACACACGCTCACAAACACACGCACACACAGATTCTTTTTAGATTGCAATACTGCCTTGCAGGCGACGTTACCATGTTGAAAAAGAGGCCCGTTGGTCTGCTTTTTCTGACCTGGATAGTAGAGCAGCACATGGCTGTTCATAGACAGCAGAGTGTTTACACCTCCCACAGCTGGTAAACATCTGCAGCTGTTTGGCCCATTAAAAAAATAAAATAAATCTTTCTTTAGACAGACTTAATTAAGTCACCAAGAAGTGACTGTTGTTGTGATTTTAACCTCCTAAGACCCGAACTCTTCCACGACATGCATTTTTAATTTTTCTTTGATATTTGGGCTGATTGGGGCCTGATGAATGTAAAAACAAAGAATTACCAGATTATTGTTTTTTACCTTATTTTAGTTTTTAAGAAAAATAAGAGCCACATATGAGGATATTCATTTCATATTTTGATAGAACAGTAGCAGTATAATGTCCTCGTAAGTGGATATCAGGCCCTTGTAATAATTGAGTATTTTAGTCTAAATAACCCAAAATGTGATGTCCACATATGTGGACGACAGGTCCTAGGAGGTTAAATAAAATTAAATTGAATTTTCCATCTAAGTTTAATGCTCTGTCATTACTTTGTGGTGGATGTGCTTACAGCCAGACTTATGAAGCTGGTAACAACATTCAGGTTTTAGGAGGTGTTCAGAGACACACTGCACATATAACAACAAATCTTTTTCCAATAACTTTTAACAATGCAGATGTTAACAACTGTGATATTTCTGCTTGGTATCACTTGATAATGTCAGATAGATCAGGCAGCATTTCATGAAAGATCCACTTCCTGATGCAACCCCAAATGGCTATATGTGTCTCTAACTGGAATTGTTGACATGCTAACATTGGAAACATGCTAGCACAGTGATGATACTGCATTGCATATATGTATACGCATCTGCATATGTAAGAGCCTGATGCTGTGGCCTGCTTTTATCCCTCAGGATGGCGTTTCTCTGCTGTATGGCTATTTCACTGCCAAAACACATGCTGGCAGTGAAGTTTCTCTCTTCTAATAAAAGAGAAAAATGAGTTCAAGAATAACCAGAAATGCATAGGAGTAAACAGGAGCACTTAAAAGACCTATCAAAGTGCGCCGATTTGACATATAGTAACATTTCTAGGTAGGTAACTATCAACTTCCAGCACACCCACAGCATAGATTTGATATTGAAATCTATATCATGGTAACTTTAAAGTAGCTCGCCAACATCGCTAGTCCAATAGCTAGTTCTCTGACAATGTTGACATGTGCCATTTTTCTGGTTTCTGTAGCTCTAATAACACGCTTATTGGCCAGGGGTGATTCTGAAGTCTTCTGTTTGCTGTGACAGTAAAATCAGCTGTCATTCAACATTTATCAGCTCCAAGTCCAACATGAACAGCTCAGGCAGTCCTGATGGCAGATCAGGAACATCAATGCACAAGTATGAATGCAAACAGTACAGGCTATCTTTCTTCTTCTTCTTTTGTCCCTAGCTGGTGGTTGGCAGGGGAGGTTGTCCACGAAGCCAATACATCGCTGTGGGTGCCGTAGGGTTTCCATCTTGGTCAATGATGCATTCCCAGGCCTTGTGGTCTCTTACCTTCACATTTGCTTGCTCAAGGGTTAGGCGTCATTGTTTAAAATCGTCTTCAATTTGCTTGATCCAAGTCTTCTTAGGCGAGCCAAGCTTGATTCTCCAGTGGGCGGGGTGCTGCTGCATCAAAAGGTGATGCGGCAGATGTGGCCAAATCATTGCAGTCACTTCCTAATCCACTCTTCCATTGAGGGCTGCTGGTGACATTGACTACATATCACGCTGTTGCTGAGACGATCACGGAGGGACACTGGGAGAATCTGATGCAAAACAGCGGATTTGGAAGCACTCCTGTAGGATGCTGTTCAGCAATCCTGAAGCACCTACAACTGTAATGAAACTTTTTTTTTTAAAATCAGGTTACAGGGTATTTTTTAACTGACTTCTGCCTGTCATTATGTTGCTGAAGACTGCATCAGTATATTTAATGCTGAGTGAAAATTAAACTGTATTAGTAATGGCAGTATTAGTCACTGTGATGACTAATACTAATATTTAAAGACAATTTCTCTCATTTGTGCCTACCATGTGAAACAGCCCACGTAAGAGTTTCTGAAAAGACATTTTGGAGCTTTTCCATTTTTAAAGAATGAAAGTTTAGACAGGAGGTGGTTCAAACACACCATTTCTAATGAAGAAACTGGGGTTTGAGCCTCGTTAATGCATTAATTTCAGTTTTTAGGGGGGAGAGCAGTCCTAGCAATGCATAAATCTACACAAACCTGCCTTCACAAACACTTTTCTGCCGCTAAACAGCACCTGCAAGACAAACAATCAGCTGTTACAGCTGTACCAGTGTTGTCAGAAAGCTTGAGAGTTTGTTTCCCTATTTCATCTTTTTCCCTATTTTACTGGACAAACTAACACAGAGAGAGAGTCAAGAGTGGCAGTAACTCAGGTGGGAGAGGTTTTGATTGTTCTCCTCACCTGTGCTAAACTGCACTTGGATATGACACTAAAACTCAAGTTGCTAATGTTAGTAGGCAAGCAACTCACATTGTAGTTCTCTTTGTGAGCCACTAAGGTAAAACGGTGTTATGTAACTGCAAGCAGGAAAGGACATAACACACATTTATCTCCTGTGTGTTCTCCATATCATATAATCCATCATTTCTTTTATGTCACAAAAGCTGTGAAAGCTGCCGGGGGCAAATGTAATTGCATGTAAACGGACCAAACTTCAGCCAGGAGAACAACTGAGATAATCCATCCACAATATGAGGTTAGTCATTAATATACTGCTGCATGGGCTGGGCTGTAGTTACATCGTAAGGTTTTAAAAACTGAGCTCTAAAATGAATAGTGGCAATAATCACAGAGAGAGGCTCACAGTGATCACTGACTTTTTAAAGGTGCTTGTTCAGATTAAATAGAACAAGATGCAAAGCATTAAAACATGTTAAAAACACAACAGCCTTAATAAACGCAGAGTAGTTTGGACCCGGAAGCAGGATTCATACGTCATCACCGAAAGACCAGATTGACAGACCTGAAACTCTTTCCATCTTTTTATACAGTCTGTAGTTATCTGTAATAGATAAATTAATTGATTATTGAGTGCAGCAATCTTGTGCTTTTGTATCTTTGATTGCAGTTTTGCCACTGATTGAAACCCACCTGAAAAAATAAGTACATGGGAATATGGTAGTATAGCTACAGTATACTGACCACAGATCTGCTATTTATTTAAATATAACTTGCAGCGCTCTTCTTCTGTTTTTGATTGTTCAACAGAAATAATCAGAGACACGGGGTTTGTGTCGGATGTTGGTGCCTAAGAATAAGGAACACTCGTAAGCGTAAATGTGAAGCACATTTATGCTTAAATGGTCAGTTTCTGTTTTGCAGTCTAACTAAATAAATACTTTAGTACAAGTACACACTCTCTGCTGCAGAAAGCACACTATAAAAACCTAAAATAGTGTCTATAAAGCAGGTTTAACTTATATTAAACAGCAGATTAAACCCTGTCAGACCAGAGAAGTGCACGACCAGGTACTCCCAGATAATAATCCTCAATATTATATTAAAGCGTAAATGTTGGAGAAGAATCCAGTCTGAACAGAGCCCGTGGTGGATTCCCCCTCTTTGATTTCTTTCTTTTTTCAGGAAGGAGGGAAAGAAAGTTGCAAACAAAGTGACAGAAAGCTTTATCAAAACGGGGAAAAAATTATATCCAGACAGATTTAAAACGCATATTCGACACATTTGATCATTTATAATATTGTTTTGAAGAGAGACACGTGCTGTATGTGGATCCACTCAGAAAAGTAAATATGAATGTTTTCACTACCCCCTGTGAAGGGCTTACCTCCACTTCGAACGTGCGCTCGCTGTCATCCAGGAAGACCACGCGCAACCGGAGCTTGGTCTCCTTGGAGACCCGGGACTTGGTAGTGAGGTTCTCGAGTCTCCCGGTCCGCCGCTGTCGGTCCCCCATCTCTCCCGCTCCTTTCTGTTTGTCTGCGTCTCTCAGGAGAAGTAACAACTAAAACAACTACGATCGTCCATTAAATCCATGTCCACGAGAGTTAATCCCACAAGAAACGGCTTCACGCGCTCCCCGCCATTACCATCAACACCAAAACCTCCACGATCGTGTTCATCCTCCCCTTCGCTCCTACCGCTGGAGCGCGCGCTCTCCGGATGCGCAATGGCACGCTGACGTTGTCTCCAGACAGCCAGACCTCATCCAGCTTCTCGTTCACTGAGAAATCACTGGATTAAACTCACTGCACATAAATATTACTGCGCTTAAGCACAGTTTCATGTACTTGTACTTTAGAGGAGTAATACAGCTCCCACCTTCTCATACTTATATTCATCTACATCCATCTATTGTGTCTTTTTATTGGCTATTGTGACAATTTCTTATTTATTTTACACTCACAGGGCTTTGTCTGTAAAAATCGCCTAATAAACAAACTTCGCATTTCACTGCATTCACCTTTAAAAAGTGCTTAGAGTGACTTCTAACACTGTGATCTTAAAAGTTGATTATTTAGACTAAAAATATCATCATTTGCACGAAATGTGGTGATTTGATACTTTTTAACGAGTTACTGGGACTCAACGGGACACTGTCGCTGTGTTACTGATGAGGAGTTCTCACTGTTTTTTTTTTTTTTACGTTTTAATACAAAATAGTTTATAAATTAGCTCCACATCAGCCACATCAAAAGAGTACAGCTCTACTTGCAGTAAGCATCAATGCATGCGTAATAATGATCTAATACTTTATAACAGTACAACAGATCATTATATGAGCACACAGGGGGCAATTTGATTTACTGAATACTTAACGGATACTTACTCTTTACTCATGGCAGAGGTTTTCTGTGGTCTCCAAGGATTAATTCTTAGACCTGTTAGAAATCCTGTATTGATGTGACTAAAAAGGCACCAGAAATTGTTTCGTTCGTCTTTCTTTTATATTAAGGAATGTATCCATGTTCATCATTACTACCTATGCACTACACTACAACTGCCATTTTTATGCTGTAGTTAGCTGAATCAAAGATAATAATTCACTATACATATACACATATGTGAATATGTACTGGATTAAAAAAAAAGGCCAAAATGTGTGAATATAATAAGAAAAATGTTTCAATATAAAATTAATTTTAAGATGTCTTTATGAGTCTGTTAAAGTAGGTGCTGTCGTGTTTTTATGGCTTATTGTACATCTACCAACAGCTATCAGTAGTACATTTACCAAAGTAAACTTTTATGAACATATTTAAATTTTATGCTTGTAAAACACATTTTTAGTAAAATAAGTAGGCATGCTCAGTATATAAAGAGACAATATATGGTTTGTGTGTGTGCATGCGTGCGTGTGTGTGTGTGTGTGTGTGTGTGTGCGTGCTGTGTGTGTATGTATGTGTGTGTGCTTCACGGGAATAATATGAATTTCACGGTGGCTGGACGCTTTTAGAGGACTGACCTGTCCAAAAGTAGGCTAGTAGTGCAATGCCTTCAGTCGCCTCCAGCATGGACTGAGCACTTTGCGTG